CACACACACATATAACAGCATTTACATTTTTTAAAATGTGCAGTTCAGTGGCATTGTGTATTCTCATTACACCATCACCATTATCTGTATCTAAAACATTTTTATCTTTCTAAACTGAAATTCTGTGCTTATTAAATAAATTCTGCCTACTGTCCCCACAGTGTTAACCACTCTCTAGGAATTTGCTTGTTCTAGGTATCTCATAGAAGTGGAATTTGTCCTTTTGTTTAAGCCACTCATTTTTAGTATTACCTTATAATCGTATTTAATAATGGATACATTTCAGCATGACACATTAAATTGTACCTGTGGTATCAAAAGAACAAGAAGAAAAAGGCTGAGAACATTTTTGTCATAGATTGAAGATATAGCAAAAATTTGTTAGGTCTATAAAGAAAGAGATTCATACAGAATTATTAAATACTAGGATGAATTAGGAAAGGATATGAGTAATAGCGTTTTGTGCTCATGATGGCAATGTTTTTAGTAATCACTTTTATCTATTCAGATATAATTTGAATAGCCTGATAGGGTGAGGATGTTCTGACACAAGTTTCTCTTATTTTGTGCCTGGAAATTTTATTTGATACTCATTAGTTGTACTAAAGCAACATTTACCAAAGCCTTACTATATGAAGTAAAAACCAGAGTAAAATAGGACCAGAATAAAATAGGATAGCTAACAATAATATTTAATATTCTTTTAAAACTGATTTTCTGTAAGTTTTACTTAAGTCTTTTAGAGGAGAAATTATGGGCCAAGTGGAGGGAGTGTTGGAGAAGGAGATCCACTGATTATTGGGGCTACTTTTCCCTCATTTCCAGTCTTTTGGTTTGGCCCCAAATTTGGCTAAAGACAGTGAGGGCTGACCTCATTAGAGTTCAGCCTTGACACCGTCTTGTTTCCCAGGGTGGGCTGCTTCTGCCAGCTCCTACCTCTCTCTTGGTCCATTCCCCCAGTAGGCTCGTGCAAGCACTGGTTCCAGGCACTTCTAGTGTGCTCCTCAGGAGGAAGGTTCTGGCAGATGTAACTTTCTTCGTATGTTTTGATTTTCAGGGACGTTTCTATATACTGGTACTCAGGGAAGTTGTCTTCCTGGGCCATGTATTAATATATCTTGATGAACAGCACTGTGCTAGTCAGTGCTACATTGAAATATCAATGAGTTAAATAGCAAAACCTATTTTGGAAGAAATTTTTACATACCCATAAAATTTAAACAACAATTTAAAATGGCTTTTGAATATAGAGAAAGTCACATAATGGTTTAAATGTTCAGTGAATATAAAGGTGTGGATATCTTTTGGGGACAATTTCTGGGTAAAATGGTATATTAGTAATAAGCCTTCCTATGAAAACAATGTCTTTATTTATTTATTTTTGTTACTGGGGATCAAACTCTGGACCTTGTGCTTGCAAGGCAGGCAGAGGAACCACTGAGCCAAATCCCTGGCCCAAAAACAGTGTCTTTTAAAGCCTCAGACAGGTGTTATTTCATAGACTAATATTTATTGTCCAGTAAAATATGAAAGACACTGCTGATTCCTTGTTTAGCTATGGGTTTACAATAACTTGATTATTCTTAGTTCATATATTTCTAAAAACAGACAAAAAAGCCTAATTACTATGGCATTTATTTCTAATGTCTAATCTCTCTTAGGCAAAATAGTTAAAGTTCATCATTATAAAATATTTTAGAGTGTACTTTTATGGAAAATACATATTTTTATATTACATCTTATTGAGTATAATTTCAAAGTTTATCTTATTATATGATTTCTAGGATAACCCTATTGGCAACTGGGATGGAAAATTTGATGGAGTACAGCTTTGTAGTTTTGCAAGTGTTGAAAGTACAATTCTCTTGCACATCAATGATATCATCCCAGGTATGTTTCTTTATGTTTTATATATTTGTAAGGCAGAGTTTCTAACATGTATTTTATTACAAAACCATAAATATGTGCTTCAAAATGCAAGCTTTGAATTTGACTTTTATATGAAGGAATTGCTATTAAATAAAATGTCCTTTCTGAGCCCCAAATGAAAACCTTAAAGATTTTTATTTCCAGATGCAAGTGAAGGGTGACATTTATACATTATCTTTCACTTTTTCATCACTTAGCTATTCTAAGGAAGACCCCTTTCTGATAATTAGAAGTTTCAGAAACTATAATAAACTGCTAACTGTTGGAATAAGACCTTGGGTTAAAAAAAAAAAAAGGCCCTTGGGTTTAAACCAGAAGGCTTTAAGCAGCAAATGGTCATTTTATCTAATTTAATCTTCTGTAGAGGGGATTCTTGATGAAAATCCTAATTGTAGTCAGATTGTTCAACTTTCCATCTTAAAAAAAAATCCTAAGTATCTTTTGTTTCAAATACAAAACATCTAATGGCTACTGTTAGGTAATTGACAGGTTCCTAGAGAGAGTAACATCAACAATGCCATCCCATGCTGTTTGTAGAAATCTCAGTGATAGGCGTGTATAGTAAAGGTCACAGAGGCAGAGAAGCTGATACTTACTGCACATTCTGTCCTCAGGAATAAAATGTCCAAAGCCTGCAGGTAGACTGTAGCCAGGAATTGAATTAGATGCCTTGTACTTTTTTACACTCTTGATAATCTTATTTATTTATTTATTTTTTGGATACTGGGGATAGAACTCGGGTCCTTAATCTTCCAAGGCAAGCAGCACAACCACTGAGCTAAATCTCCAGCACTCTTGATAATTTTATAAAGTAGATTAAAATGTCCAAAGCCTGCAGGTAGACTGTAGCCAGGAATTGAATTAGATGCCTTGTACTTTTTTACACTCTTGATAATCTTATTTATTTATTTATTTTTTGGATACTGGGGATAGAACTCGGGTCCTTAATCTTCCAAGGCAAGCAGCACAACCACTGAGCTAAATCTCCAGCACTCTTGATAATTTTATAAAGTAGATATTAATAATCCCCAATTTGTGATTCAAAACAACAACAAACAAACAAACAACTGGGGTTCCAGTAGGACTAAGAATACCTAGGGTCAGAGTAAGTGGTAGAGTCAGAATTCAAATCCAGACCTGATTATAAAGCTGTGCTCTGTTCAGTACCTGCCACTCCCACCCCCAACCTCTGTGTATTCTTGCTGTGTGAGGACCTGCATAGAAAACCATATTTCTTGGTCTCACATCCTGTTTCCATGGAGATGTGTTTTGTCTCTAATTCTATAAAAGCTGAATTTTTACTGTAGCAAGGATCAAAACAACAGGCCAGCTAAATTGTTTATTTTTCCTTTTAGTGTTTTTCAGTTGTTGTTCATTTTGACACAGAACACTTTTCAGTTTTCTGCGGGTCATTTCTGATCCTCAGTTCCTTGTTTGGTAAAAATGAAAGGGCTAATATTAGGTGAACCTTCAGGTTCCTTCTAGTCCACACTGTGTGCCCTTCCTGTTTCCCTGTGGGTGAGGCAAGTCATACATTTATATTTTATAGCTTTCTCCTTAGCTTTTAGCTTTGCAGAAATAATACATTAATTTAGTAGGAGACATGAGATTCAAATGATAGCTTTATTTCAGTTTTGCTTTAGAAAAATCTGATATCCTATGCTTTTCTTAATTTCTTTAAAATCCATTTTTAATCTTACAAATTGAATTGCTAACAATTTCTTTGTTTACCTTTGGAAACAAATGATTTATATTCAGGGAAAAGCATGTGTGTGCTTCATACTTTGTTTAGTGATATTTAATTTACTTTTTTATGCTTGTTTATGGGGATAACACATCTTAGTGATATTATGAATTAAAATTGTTTTCAATATTATAATGAATACTTATTATTTAAAAAGCAGTACTATAAACTGAGCATGGTGGCCCATACCTGTAATCCCAGCACTTGGGAGACTGAGACTGGAGGATTGTTGTGAATTTGAGGCCAACCTGTGTTTCATAGTGAGTTCAAGGCCAGCCTGGACTAATAGTGACACCTTATCTCAAACCATCCCCCTCCAAAAAAAGCAGTACTCTGAAAGGTTGTTGATTGAGGTATTGTTAAGTCCCTACTAAGGCTTCTTTTAGATGTTGGGGATATAGTACAAAGCAAAACAGGACTAGGGTGGTCTGATGAGGTGGGTGAGAGTGGGTGGGTTTCAGATATAATGTAAGGAGCTCTTAGACAGGGTGGTGCACACTTGTAATCCCAGCATTTGGAAGGCTGAGCTAGGAGAATTGCTGTGAGTTTAAGGCCAGCCTGAACTATGTAGTGCGACTGTCTCAAAAAACTGAAAAAACAAAACAAAATCCACCCCAAAAAACTACCCCCCCAAAAAATCCCAAAAAAACTGACAATTACTGGCAGATAGTTTGGGTTTGGGTCTTGAGGAATCCATGTTGACTCCAAGGTTTGAACTGAGCAGCTGGAAGGCTGTGGGGTGGTTTATTGATGTGGGAGAGAGCTAGAAGAGCACGAATGTGTGTGTCGGGTGGGAGGGTGGTGCAGAAAGTCATGGTTTTGGTTGTGGATATACTAAGGCTAAGATGCCTTATTAAACAATTTTATTTGAATGTTTACATTAATATTTTAAGCATATGTTTAAAATTCTTAAAATGTGTAATAGTGCAGAAACTTTAAGAAATTTTAAAATGTGGATTATATTTACAAAAGGGTATAAAAAATATAAGAGTAATAATGAACACTAGTGTAAGTGCCATCCAGGTTAAGAAATAGAACATTATAGGTATATTAGAAACTATAGATGCACCTTGCCTTCACGATTGCAATACCCCCCCCAGGACTAAGCACTATTTTGATTGCTTTTATTAGCAGTTTCCCTGATTTTTTTATAGTTTTACCATATCGCTATGCCTAAAATATTGTTTAGTTTAGCTTGTTTTTGAACTTAATATAAATAGAAACATAATGATTATCCTTTAATTATTTGTATCATTTACTTAAAATGTATATTGAGATTCTTTTCTGTGGATAAAGGGGTTGATAGTTCATTTGGTGTCACTGTTTCATAGTCAACTTCATTGTGTGAATACCTCACAATTTAGTAACCCATTCTAGTGTTTGGGCTTTGAGTTACTTCCATATCTTCTTAATATTTGGTACTAATAAAAAGTTTTCCCAGTCTGATGGCTGAGAAATGGTATCTTAAAGTGGTTTTAATTTGTAGTTCCCTGATTACAAGTTGGGTTGAACTGCTTTTCCTGTTTCATAGTCAACTTCATTGTGTGAATACCTCACAATTTAGTAACCCATTCTAGTGTTTGGGCTTTGAGTTACTTCCATATCTTCTTAATATTTGGTACTAATAAAAAGTTTTCCCAGTCTGATGGCTGAGAAATGGTATCTTAAAGTGGTTTTAATTTGTAGTTCCCTGATTACAAGTTGGGTTGAACTGCTTTTCTCAATAAATTCTCAGCCTGCTTTTCATATGTTTATGGAACATTTGTGTCTTTTATTAAATACTGTATCCGTTTGTGTGTTCTGCTTATTTTTCTGCTGCTTATTGATTTATGATTACTCTATTTTTAAAATTTTCATAAAATGTTTTATTAGAAAATTTCAGACATATAGCATCTTATTCTTTACAGGGTATACTTTTCCATTGTATGGAAAACAATTCTATAATTTATTTAACCAACTTCCCTTTTGTTAGATATTTATATTGTTTCAAATCTTATACTACTCTACGCCACAGTGCTACTTTGGCTTTATACATAACAATGTATTTCCCACGTGTGCTAGCATATAACTTCCTAGACGTGAGGTTGTTTATGATGAAAGGGTACATGCATCTGTAGAGTCATGGATACTGTCAATTGCTTCCAGTTATGTATAGCAATTATTTATACCGGCAGAATTCGAGGATAACTTTTTCTTAATAGGTTTACTGTGAGAGTATATTATTAAAATTTTTCCCAATCTGAAAGGTGAAAAATATATTCTAGTATAGTTTTAAGTGACATGGTTGAACATCTTTTCATATGATTAAGGGCAATTTGTAATTCTCCTTGCATTAACTGTTCATATCTGTTTTCATTATTTAAATTGGATATTACTTTTTTATCAGTAGTTTCTTCTTTATACATTGTTGTGGTAAACTCTTTTATGATACAAGGTGTAAATATTCCCTTCCTTCACCCTATTTGCCATTTGTCTTTTAAAAAAACATATCTACCTGGTAAATCTCATTTATTTTTATTATGTAACAAGATTTACCATTTTAACCCATTTTTAAGTATACAATTCAGTAGTATAAAGTACATTTACTATGTTGAGCAACCATCAATGCTATCGATTTCCAGACTGTTTTTATCCTCTCCAATAGAAACTTTGTACCTCTTAATTCCCATTCTTTCTTCCCTCTAGCCTCTGGTAACTTCTGCTTTCTGTGTATAAATTTGCCTATTCTGGGTATCTCCTATGAGTATAGTCATACAATATTCATCCTCTGTATCTGGTATATTCCTCTAGCACAGTTTCTTTTGACTTTGCCTTAGATGTTTTTTTGCCATGCAGATTTCTAAATTTTTTACACAGTTAAATTCATCAGTTGTGTTTTATTCTGGATTTTGAGTTATAAAAATTTTTCCTGTGTTTTCTTCTATTATTGAGAACCATTTCACATACTTAAGCTTTGCTTAAAGTTTATATTTTCAACTATTTTAGTATATTTACAGATATGAAAAGTCATGTGCTCAACTTTAAAATACTTGTATCACCTATAAAGAATCTGTATTTTTGCTTTTACTGCCCCATTTCCTTGTTAGTGTTACATAGCCACTATTCTGACTTCTTGTTTCTGTCTGGGTGAGCTAGAGATTTTCTCTTTATATTCTATTTAGAGAAGTTTATGATGATACATCCAGGATGTTTTTCTTCATATTTGTCTTGCTTGGAG